GAGAATCCTGGTGAACGGCCAGGACATCAAGTCGGTGGACCTCCAGAGTCTGAGGAGGGCTATCGGGATCGTGCCTCAGGTTAGGGTTAGGGTGGGAAACTGGGGAGTTGGTTAGGTTGGGATCTTAGGATTTGACTTTTATAAATTATCATCCTCATCATTATCACGAACATCATTACTATAAACATTGTCTCGGCTATCGTCATCATCGCCGACGTCAACTCAAAAAATCGTTTATCCAGCAAAAAAAACATTACCAGGGTGAGCAGAAGTTTTCACTTGTTGGGCCACCCTTTCAAGATATTGCAAGAATACGTGTGTGTGTGTGTGTGTGTGTGTGTGTGTGTGTGTGTGTGTGTGTGTGTGTGTGTGTGTGTGTGTGTGTGGTGTGTGTGTGTGTACAAAAATAATTTTTCCGCTAAGTTTAGATAGACAGAATATAATAGAAATAGGACGATACTTATTAATGTCATGAGGATTGCCAGATTTGAAAGGAAATATAACTTTGGAGATTTTTTTTTAAACATAAATGAAAAAGAAAAAAATTAATTAATCAAATGATAAAGAGGGATACCAATATTAGAAATAGTAGATTTCAAAAGAAAATTAAAAATACAGTAAAAATACACCACCACACGAAGTGGAGCTATTAAAATTATTTACAAAGTCAGGTATTTCCGAAAGAGAACAATCAAATGATGCAAATGTACTGGTGTTACAAAAACGTTTAAAATCAAGCAATAGATTAGAATGAACAATATGGGCATTAGAAATGTTTGAAGAAAACTTATTATTAAAACAGTAAGTCATCAGTAACGTCCTACCTCGGGGAACCGGGTCTCTGGACTCAAAACGAAGATTGATTGATTTAAGTCATCAGTGATAATTACATCGTTGTTCACTTCAATAGCTAAATGTGAACGTTTCAAATTTAGACCCGTGCAAGATTTTAAAAACATTCAACATATATTTACCATTCCTTTTGTGTTTTTTTTTAATAAATGAAGGTAATACAGATTTTCAGGAACACGACATAGTTTTAATTTTATATTTTTTTATTTATATTTTTTATATTTTTATTTTTAAATTTTTATATTTCACAACCTGTCAGACATCAACCTAGACTTTAGAAAATTTTTGCCTAGGTAACAAATTTTTATTTATGGATAAGTACACCGTTGGTAATCCAAAGTTTTTTTCTCCTTCTTATCTTGGATATCATTATCATCATCATAACCATCATCATCACCACCGTCATCGTCATCAGGATTCGGTCCTCTTCCACGACACCATCCTCTACAATATCCACTACGGAAACATGGCCGCCAGCTACGATGACGTCATCAACGCTTCTAAGATGGCCGACGTGCACCAGGTGTGGTGATGACGATGATGGTGGCTATGATGATGATGATGATGAGGATGGCAGCTATGACGATGAGGATGGTGATTGCGCTGGTGGTTACGATGGTAGTGATGATGATGATGATGTTATAAATAAAGGTAGTGATTTTGTTTCAAGG